TCTCTTACGGTCAAAATCACCATACCGTCAGAAGAAGAAGAATCCACGCACATCCACGCATACATCAGCATTCTGGAAAACTCACTTCTCATCTGGCGGGGTGCCATTTTGAAATACATCGAGCCATTGAGCTAAAAAGTCAAATTTTTGCTCTTCCCAGTCGAACACCGTAAATCCAAGGTTTTGCAAGGCCTTGGCAGAAGGGGTGACAAAGGTATGTGTTTGGCTGGGTCACGACAGCGGACAAATGAAAGACTTGAAGTTGTGAAGGTAATTCTATTGACAAAAAAGCAAGTGAAGCACAATGGCGGTTGAGGCATTGTTTGCGATAAAACAGATTATTGGTCCGGAAAACAAAAATTATGTCTCACAGGACGTTTCGTATGTTTCAACATACATCTTCAGAAGTGACCGCTCACAATGGAATTAACAACTTCATTTAAATTTAAGATTTGTAACTAATAAATATTCTGCTTGTACGAAAATATTTTATGGATTATAAATCAAAGCGCCGGTCGAGGGAGGCACTAGGGGCAGATCTAGGGTGTCTGTTGACCATCTAACCACCCCAGAAAAACCTCTCTGCTGTTCCCTTTTCACCTACTGGAGATGTCTGCTCGCGGGATGTGTGTCAAACATCTCAGCTTTGATATTTTTACGTGGGAAGGCAACAGTGGGGACCTCTCACGCCAAGAAATCACAATAGCTCCCATCCTCAGTTGTTTCACGTTGTACACCAGCACCTTTTCAGCGGTAACAATGGCATTTACACGGTGGTTGTGGATACGATATCGCTTTCTGAAAACATAGGTGGACTTATAACGGGAATCTGAAGCTCCAAGCGCGGCATTAAGGGAGGACGTGGTAACATAACCCATCTTCCTTGCGGTGGGGAATAACATGGAAACCTTGGAACCCAATTTAGTAAACATTGTTTCAAAATGATAAGACAGATTCACTACCCGCGAATCCTCTTTTACCATCAGAATCACTTTACAAACAGGAAGAGCTTCCATTATTTCGTCAAAGAAGAAGTATCCAGGCCAATCCACGAATCCATCAGCATTCTGCTAAACTCGCTTAGCGCCATTTTGAAAAATATCGAGCCAGGGATCTAGGAAGTCCAAAGCTGGCTCTTCTCAGTCAAGCACCGCAGATTCAAGGTGTCACCAGGCTTTAGTCATTGATTTGTATCCGTTTTCTTGAGTCCGTCATCGACAGATGATCTTCATATTTACAGCCCCAGAAGTTTAATGCCCCTCTATTCTGTCCATTCGTCAGAGTGATTTTGTACAGGTGTAAGCAGAATCTTGTGATTTCGTATTTTACATTTGATTCTTGTCACGAGCTGGTCTAACGTCTTCAGGCTGATCCATAAAAAGGCACATTTGTATCCTTATTATATCTCT